GCTGTGTTGATCAATATTGATTAAAGTATTAATGAAATTTCAAACCATAATCAATAGACTCAATTTAATTATTTCTGGTGTTTGTAGATACATGTACTGTTAAAGATGGAAATGGATTTTTCACAAGTCAGTCGCCAGTTTTCTCACCTGTTCCGCATTCACCAGCAGAAACAGTTTACTCTAATTCTCCTTTCTTGACGCTCATGCAGTCACCTCAAATGAAAAACAAACAAAAAGAGGTAGTGTAAAACATACAAAAACAATGACATTAGTAACAAAACTCTGAGTAGGGTTTCCTTGTAGTCTACACTAGGAAATAACATTCCCTTGTCCGTCACCTTTCCTAACCTTGAAAGACTATTCAGTACCAAAAAATGCCTTTTTTAAATTCTCAATCTTACCATAACTGAGAGTTTTTCAAGTTATTTAATTGGGGTTGAATATTTTAAAGCTCTCAAGGGTAGGAGAGATCAGTATTGGAGAAGAAAATGGGCTGGGTTATGCTATCAAATATAAAGTGTCTAGTTATTCATTCCTGGTTTTCATACATTACTTTATTATAATAGTACTCACTTTTATAATAGTCTATTATTTGATATCATGGAAGCTTGTGAGAGTTATCTGCAGTAATATCTCTAAATCATGTTATTTTTGTTTTGTAATGACTATAGTTTATTGTAAACAAACTGCACCAAAAAGTGAACACACTTCAAATTGATCTTGAAGCACAACATCATCTGCAGACAACTTTGGAATTTGAACTTGCTGAAAAAAATCAAGATATTGATACCAAAAGTATGTATTAAAGAAATTTGTCTCCATTTCTATTTGTGGTGAACTGGATATATAACATCAGTATTAAATCATTACATTATTTAAATTTGGTGGTTAGATACAAAGATCAGGCAATTACAAAAAGAACTTGTGCAAGTTAAGATGGTTGTAGATGAACTTGAATCYCTGCAGCACTTCAAGAATGACTATGAAAAAGCTGAAAAAGAAATCAACAAGTTAGTAATAATGTTATCCTCTGAGTCCAAGGGGCTGGGGTCAGGGTAGATTATTGAAACCCAAAAGCCTCTTGCAGTACATTTTTTCTACTTGTCATGGAATAATTAAAGTAATTCTTTGAATAATCTTAGGCTGAAACAAAAAGTTGCAGAACTAGAAGATTTTAAGCAGCAAACCTCTAATCTTGAAGAAAGAACAGAGATCTTCCTCAAGGAAAAAGAACTTTTTGAAAAACAGGTAAGTGGCTACTGTGAAACTAAAAGACAATGGTAATGGTGTTCATCCATGYTAACTTACATATGCAAGACTCTTCTTTATAACTTTATAATAAATTTTTGGTTGGTTTGGTCTAGTTTCTTTCTGAGAACATTTTGAAGTGTTTTGAAGAACAGCTGTATCATGGTGCAGTGCATATTGATGCTCATTCATAATAATATATTAGGTAGAAGAAAGCAAAGTGACTAAAGCAAGACTAGAGAGATACAAGCAACAGGCACATCACTTAGAGTTCCAAGCAAGTGAACTTCAAGCTGCTCTTCACAGAAGAGAAGAGGAAATGGAAAAGATCATGAAAGAGAGAGATGAGGTTTGTTAATCTTGCATTATTTCAACTGTTTACTCATTGCAGCTTTTTGCAAATTGACTATATATCTATGCTTGAAGATCAGTATGCTTGCTGAGCTATTGTATAGTCATGGCTGAATAAAATAAAAAATGATCAAATAATGATGAAAAGAATTGGTACCATGGTATCCACCTTCCCAAATACAAAAAAAAGGAAAGAAAAGCAGTAATACTAAAAATGGTTAATTTATATCATAGCAAGTGATTAGCAATTAAGTAACACAGCTAATATTTGTGTATTAGGCATTAAGTGCTGCATCTGAGTCTGCTGAATTGTGGCGATCTAGAAGACTGACAGAGCCTGAGGCTGATGATGAAGCTGAATTCCATCAGCTTGAAGGTATATTATTTTAAAATCACCACAAAATAATATTATAAGTTGTCACACATCATTATTTTCGTTCTTTTTTTAGAAATACTACATTTTCATCTTTCATTGCAAATCCTCCATKAGTCTCACTTTCCATGCCATGTTAGATCTCTGCTTGATAAATGTTGTCCCGAAATTAACATTTTTATGCCCATATAAAGGTTCACCAATTCTTCAAGAAGCTCCTTCAATCAATCAAGAATCCCGCTTGATTGAATTAGAATTTCAAAATGAACGACTCAAGAAACAGTTGGCYTCATCAATTGAACCTGAGAAACTCCAGCAAATGAAAGATAAACTCGAAGACACCGAACGATCGAAAAAGTCTTATGAAGTAAGAATTCGTATATTACATCATTAGTGCATGTTTTCTTCATAGGCGTAGCATCCATTGTGTCCAATCAAATTATCGTCATCAATCAGTATTTATTTGATATTTGCCACGAGAAGATATTACCAAAGCTGAACCCACCTTTTTTAATTCTTTTGTTTGTCTTTTTAAATGTAGGAAAAGTACATCCAAGCAACGTCTAAGATCTTAGCCCTTGACGATAGTCTAGCCCAAGTTCAGGATCAATCAAGAATAAGGTAAGATATGCCCAATATTAAATTACACCATTGATTTATACTTATCAATGTCGTCTTATTCTTAGACAAGAAGCCCTTCAAAGAAAACTCGATGACTCAAATAAGTTGTTGAATGATAACAGAGGCAAACTCGAAGAATCTCGTAAAGAAATAYCACGTCTTCAATCTGAACTAATGGTTTCACGGGGCGAAGTCGAAGCGCATGTGATCGCWTTGGAGAAACAACGTGTTACAACCAGCAAAGCAATGGATGACATGGCTGCCGAAAGGAAAGTCTGCGAAGAAGAAGCTTCGCAAAAATTGACTGAACTCCGTCGAGAACTGGAATCCAGAGAAAAACAAGCTTTGACAAACTGCGAGAGATTGAACAAAGAATACGATGCAAAATTAAGGTTGGTTTTATATTAGTTTTGTCTTTCTGAAAATATATCTACTCCTTTTCGTTTCAAAATTTTGTTTATTCCGTATTTCAGAAATATCACTGAGGAATTGCAATCGATTCATATGAAAGACCGAGAAGAAATGCAACTCAAGATACAAGAGATGTGTAAAGATAGAGAAAACTTAAAGACTCAATTCACAACCAAAGAGGAAGAGCTCAAAATGCTTGTCCAAAAAGCTGAAAGGGATACAGTTGAAGTCAGAGATGTCTATGAAAACATGCTAGCTGAAATAAAGAATGAACTAGGTAAATTTCTAATGACTGGCAAAGGTATTGGAAAGCTGACCAGTCATTGGTATTCTACCTTCTTCTCTAAATCGAAAAATATTTCCTTCAATTGTTTGTGAGATGAATATTTTTAAATTCCTTTTTAGGTTGTTTTATAGCAAAAGCCAGACTGTGAAAATTCTAATTTCGATTTATGCTTTTTTTTTCTTCAGAAAACGAAATCCAGACAAATAAAGAGTTGTCACAAACGTTGCAGCAGACTTGTGAGTCCATGGAGAACAGAGTAAATCAACTTGAGCAGGAGAAACATCACCTCATCGAAGACTTGGAAAAAGCAAAAGAAAATGTCAACAAGTTAACTAAAGAATATTCAGAAATGAACAAAGAAATTGAACGTCGCAGCAAAGCCGAGAAAGTTTGGCAAGAAAATGAACTC